AAAACACACTCCTTTGCAAGATTGCCATTATAGAGGTTCAGAACAAAAAGGGGAAGATAAACTTATGTCATACAGTAAGTGTAAGCATTCAGGTCTGACCTAATAGTCCAATTGACTAAAGAAAGTTCAAATTATGTAGATGGAGCATATTCAAATGATAGAATGGACAACCTTAAGCAGAATTAAACACCAAAGGGATGCTAAAAATTGCAAAGGTCACATGCAGTAGTAGTTCATAACACATTGACTACTCGAATTAGGCTTAGGCATGTTTCAAACTAACATTATGAAGTCAAATGTTAAAAAGACCTAAAACTGAGGTAAATCAAATAGAATTGCACACAAGAGTAACCCAACAACACATTAAGCTATGAACTTCAGAAGTGAAAAACATATGCAATTTGCAGATACATAGGAACGAAATTGCAAAGGTTCAGTAACTCACCGGTTAAGCAAAAAACAAGAAAGAACAAAGTCCATAGTAGCAAGAACCCAGGATTTCTGGGCTTGGCTTTCAGCCGGCCAAGAACCAGAATGTAGGACAAGAGTATTAGAGAACAAAGAGTAGTAACTTCAGTTTTTTTAATAAATCTCTTAACGATTTCCAGTCTTCTTTTAAAGGGGAACGGAGAGGGGTTTATATAGTAGTAGGAATTAAACAAGTAAACAAGGAAACACTGTAAAATCAAACATAAATAAGGAAACCATAGCATGCAGGATCAATAAAATCGGATTTAGGGAAAAATAGGTAAACCCTAATTTTTTAGGGAAAGTAAATATTGACAAAAATGTAACAAAAATTGGTCACACGGTAGAATATCGGACGAACATAGACATAATAACACTTAAAATCAGAGAATCGAACCCATTTTTGGTTCGATTAAAAGAGATCTGAAAACCCTAATTTAGGGTAAGTAAGAATCAACAAGAGATACAAAAATATTCGTACTTACAAAGAGCGAATGATGAACATAGACAGAATAATCAAAAAAGACAAGGATTTGAACCGATTTTGGTTCGATTCGTACAAGATCTGCTTGCCATGTTTAGGCAAGCAGTATAGAGAAGGACCCAGTACCAGGGAGATGTCACATATGGCGAGAAACGACCATGGAATCCCATGATAGGTGAGATTAGGAGAGGGATTTGGGGGGAAAGCGACTAGGGTTTGAGAGATAAGAGATGAGAGGATTCAAGGGCGGCGGGCGGTGAGAAATGATTTAGGGTTAGAGGGTTTGGGTAGTTAAAAGGGAGTCGTTTGATGTAGGCCGTTGATCTTGGAGATCAAAGGCCAGAATTATAAAATGGGACTAGGGCGGGTTTAAGAAACGGGTACCGACTGGGTCATGGGTTGGGTTAATTTGGTTTGGGCTGGGGTATTTTGGGCTAGTGTATTAGGTAATTGGGCTGAGATTGGTCCGAAAATAGGTAAGAATTTTAGGCTAGTTTTTAAATACTCAATATTTAATAAATAAATAATTTATAAAAGTAATTAATAAATAAAAAAATATCATTTGAGCACTAAAATGATTAAAAATAGTTACTTAAAATTATAAAAATATAAAAAGTCATTTTCTGCATAATAATGTAATTATACATTCATATGGGCTATTATTGCAAAAATGTGCAATTAGTCCTATAATGCAAATGTAATTAAAAAATGCACTGAAAAATATTTAAAACATCATGTTGGTATAATTATAAGTTTAGATGATTAAATCATCATAAAAATAATTTGAAGGATAATTACTGGATATTTATATAATAAGATGAAGAAATAAATTGATTTAAAGTCTTTTTTAAAAATTATGAAAAATTATGAAAAGTACTCGTATATGTTAATAAACCAAATTATGATGCATATGCACTATTTTGAAAGTATATATACATATTTAAAATATGAGGGAAAAATCGAGTATCAACAAATATTAGAAAATTAATATAAATGACTGTTTTTCCTAGTGTGAACTCTATTTTTACTACTTGAAAATTGTGTTTTCCGATCACTATAATTTTTGTGTGAGTTAATAAAAGTTTTATAATTTTTGGTTGAGATAACACAATTATATGACTTTGGTTAAAAAAAAGTCATAGTTATAATGACCATTTTTGAAATTTACCCAGTCAATGCATGTATTAAAACAATAAATACTACATGTATTTGTAATCACATAACGATGTATAATTAATTTATTTTTTATCTTATTATTAAATATAAACAAATTAATATAATTTAATGCGAATAAATTGTTTTCCTACGAAACTTCACCGTGGAACAATAGTTGCGGGGAGTCGCGTGATACCGATTCCTTCAAACTAGGTGGCTATTAGATTCTAAAAGTTACCTGTATGGCTTGGCTACATAAGTGGAACAAACGCATCCTGTTAAATTCAAGCAAGATTAGGATATGACCTCGATTTTGTTTTAAATCATATTAATTTATTACAGTGAAGTAATTGAATAATGCGAACATATACATTAATTAGTCATAATGAAGTGTTAAAAATCTATCTGCAAACACATGTCATGTATAACGTTTTAGAGTAAACATTCGATATGAATAATCTTTTTTTTTTTTTGTAGATGTATGATAGAACTTACCCTTCTCTCATTAAGGAATATTCAATTCTATCCAATATTCTCTTAAATTTTAAGGAACAATCCGAAGCCAAGACTCAAGAGGACACAATTCGAATAGTAGAAATTCAATTATCTGAGCAAGAAAAAGAATGCGCCTTATTAAACAAGAAAGGGCTCTACTTCTTTGTTCGCTAGGCTTTTGCACCTTTTATTTAGAGTTAATATCCTTAAACCCCCTAAAACGATCATGTTTTTATCAGTTTTTTACTTAAAGTATTTGGTATTCCTCAAAACCTCCTGAACTATATCAACAACAACAACGATCCAGTGAAATCTCATGAGTGGGGTCTGGGGAGGGTAGTGTGCACGCAGACCTTATCTCTATTCCGAGAGGGTAGAGAGGGTGTTTCCGATAGACCCTCGACTCAAGAAGACGAAAAGACGACGAAAGGAGATAATATATCAGTACCATCAATAAAAATCATAGAAAACATAACAACATCACAAGAACCAGAAAATAGATGAAAAGCAAAACAATAACATGTAGATAAAGCCCGACACTAAGAGAAACGAAAGAGTGGTGTGAACTCAACATTAACCACTAGCAGTCTAAGACTAAATCCTAACAGACTAGCCTCACTCTGGAGCACCGTAGAGATATGCACAACTACCCCCTAACTTACAACCATAATGCTCGACCTCCACAACTTCCTATCTAGGGCCATGTCCTCGGTAATCTGAAGTCACGCCATGTCCTGCCTGATAACCTCTCCCCAGTACTTCTTGGGCCGCCCTCTATCTCTCCTCGTACTCACCAAAGCCAGCCGCTCACACCTCCTTACCAGGGCATCTGGGCTTCTCCTCTGAACGTGCCCGAACCATCTGAGCCTTGCTTCCTGCAGCTTGTCATCCATGGGGGCCACACCCACATTCTCTCAAATATTTCCATTCCTAATCTTATCCATCCTAGTGTGCCCGCACATCCACCTCAACATCATTATTTCTGCTACTTTCATCTTCTGGATATGTGATTTCTTAATTAACTAGCCAACACTCAATCCCATACAACATGGCCGGTCTAACCACCACTATAAAAACTTACATTTGAGTATCGGCGGCACTTTCTCCCCTGAACTATATCGCCCTTCATATTTAAACACCCTCGTTGCTTACTTGGCGTAACATGTGTAATAACTTGCATGGGAGCGCGTGATGGCTTTAAAAAGCCATGAAAATAGTCCACCTGACAGAATGTAATAGCCAATTAGCCTAACCGTCTTTCAATTTTTTTTTATTTTAAATATTCTCCTTATTTCCTTTATATCCACCTTTCTTCCTTATTTTTTTACGTTCTTCTTTATTTTTTCACTTTTTTCTTTAGTTCTTCATATAGGTTTCCTATGAAAATTGTTCTCCTTCTCTTGTTTCCTCTAAAATAATTTGTTCTCTATTTGTTTTAGTCTTGTTTCATATCTTACACGTATTGTTGAAAGAACATCCATTTAAATCTTTTTATTACACCCAACACCTTGTAGAGAATAAAGTTGAATCTCTTGAACCTTGTTTGTGTAATCTAGAATTAGAGAATATAGTTGTTGGTCGATTGATTTCTTATTTGTGAAATTTTATTTTATGTAATCTTGTTTATGTAATATAAGATAAGTTTTCAGAATTGCAACACTATATACCTTTATTTTTTTAAATTGTAATATAAAGTGAATGTAAATAAGGACTTATTCAATTGGAGTCTAGCACAAAGCACATCACCATTAAACCTAAAATTAACACATTATATTAGATACCATCATTTTGGCCAAAACTCCTAGAATTAATCCGTCCACCGAGAGTAATATCTCATGAATAAGCTACATAAAAAACTTAGTACAAATCACAAATTAATATAGCTAGAGAGACGCACCTCTAAGAATTCAACAGGGGTTTTTAATATATAGGGAAATATAGTTTAGGGGATTTTGAGGACACCAATAGTTAAAGTAAGTAACTTACAAAAAAGTGATAGTTTTGGGAGGTTTTAGGCTGAGTTAAATAGCCATGCATGTGTAGTGCCACATGACATAATATTTTAGATAATTAGGAGCGTGTACTAGACGCACCTTTATGAATGCACTGAGGTTTTTTTTAATATAAAGGACAATATAGTTCAGGGGGTTTTTTGGAACACCGAATAATTTAATTAGAAAACTGACAAAAACGCGATAGTTTAGGGGTGGTTTTAGAGTATTAACTCAAAATGTTCAGACAACTTTGCTAATTATGTGAAAACAATTAGTTAAACTTTCATCCACCCATAGCTATGAGAAAACACTACTACAGAAATAATTTGCCTTTTGTATTGCACTGTTATTAGATGGCTAATATACTGTACAATAATACGAAGCCAAACTTGAGGGTGGCTATATAATGCAAGTGTAAGACGGACCTCCTCTGTAGTATATACAATAATAAACAGCAATATCTGTAGTTTTGATGTACACCTCATGTAACTGTTATCTACACAAGTAAATGAATTTCAAAGTTTCTTATAGAGGCTCAAATTCAAAATTGGTATGCTCCAGAATTGGACCAAGCCTAACAAGCTTAGGTACAATGATGTTATCCCTAAGGGAACATATCACTGGATTATCCCATTGCAATAGTGCACCTACAAGATATGCACGTAGCGTTAATGGAAATATACGAGGCCATCTTTCAGTTTCATATGCTTTGAGTGCATCCTCGATAGAAATACGTTTATACTTGATTGCTTCTGCAAGTTTTTTGGTCAAAACTATTGAATCTTCCAAAGCACAACAACCACCTTGACCAAGATTTGGTGTCATTGGGTGCCACGCGTCGCCAGCCAGCACTATACTTCCAGTAGAGGCTGGTGGGCTTATTGAGGGCCAAAGCCATCTATCTACTAGGCTACTTCTTATGATTGTGTCGTCTGGTGTAAGTTTAATGAGGTTTATTAGGTCTGTTGGCCAATTTCTAACGAGTTGTTCAGCTTGCTGTCTCAAGATAGATGGATCTGTTATCTTTGGACCTGTCAACAGATGTTCAAAACAGTTAGAATGACGTAATGGAAAAGGATGGACTTTTTCACTGATGTCTTTCGACCGTTTTAGAGGGTAGAATTATAACTCCAACTACAGAAAGTTGCATAGAATTTTTCAGCTCATGAGAGAGTATCTAATCAAAGTGGATATACTATGATTTCTACTTTAAAACTACTGTCAACTAACATGCCCACATGAAAAAGAACAGACACTGGAAATATTATTATGCGCACATGGGCGTTCATTCTTGTCTGTAATTTTCTAGGTGTACTGACATATAAAGTTCTAGGGAACCTTCTCCAGACCCTGCATGAATGCGGGATGCTTCATGCACCGAGCTGCCCTTTACTGGCCTATAAAGTTCTCATATTCAAATTTAAAGGGTTACACATATGTAAACCCCACTTTCTGTTAGGAGTATAGAGACAAAACAAGAATGCTATCTCCTGTGGAGTTGCTTTTTGATTAAGTGGTTGATGTAAAGGCATTGTGGTGTTTGTCATGAATGCCAAAGAGAGAGAAATATACCAGAAAGCTGTTATAAAACACAAACCTGGTGATGAGTTATTGTAGCAGATAAACCAATAGACCTTGGTTTCAGAGACAGGAACGTATCCAGCACGCACTCCTCTTCCGTAGATGTAGTTTACTTTTGGTTCAAATGGCTGTCCTTGAGGGAAATATGCTAGGCCTCGAAATGCACAATGGCCTACATAGTTAGGCTCTGGAAATCCCATCCACTTGGCCACTGGCGACCGAATCCCATCACAAGCGATTAATATCTGCAAGGAGTTGAAGTTCAAGAAGAAGGCGCAAGCTTGAGAAATCAGTCCACTCGGTATTTTTTTTTTTTTTTTGAATAAATCTAATAGCTACAAAAGGAGAATCATCAAGATAGTAGACAGAGAAATTAGATTAAACTTTAAGCAATAAGAGACTTCACGGTTTTCGTTATTAAGTTGAATCAGAAGACAATGTATTTGGCAATACTCATACTACTAACTAAAGTAGATATCCTCAGACAAGTGGAACAAGCACCACGGAAACCCTGAAAATAGGCAAATCAAGGTGCACACCAACTACCTTGGCAGATATGCGAATTCCATCTTCAAGTTCCAACATTGTTTCACCATTTTCACTTCTTTCAATGTTTGCCAGCTTTGAGGAAAAAGAGATAGCATCTGGTGGCAGCTTACTGGCAAGTGTTTCCAGTAGGACTCTCCTCTCCACAGCTCGGACTTCTTGACTACATTGTCATGGGATTAATAGAGAAAAGGATCAGAATTTGGTGATAAATAACAATTAACCAAAACAATCAGAGAGACCATTACGTTTCATCCTCATCTTTGAATCTGAAGGAGCGCAACTCTCTTCCATCTTCTGATTTTACCACCATCCTGCAAATTCCCAGGTACCATAAGCGAGTGATTTCTACATACCAGAATCTAGGAGAAGCATTTCAGCATGATTTCAGATCAACGATTATAGTCTAATGCTTAACATTTGAACCGCTAGTTACTAGATAGACACTCATGGAAAGAATAAACCAAGAGAAGCATCTTCAGCTTGATTTGAGTATCACAATCAAACCTCAAAAAGCACACTAAAGAATGAAGACAGAGAGAAAACCAAAATTTCCTTTGTTTTTCACTGTTGGGCTTAATATATGCTGGTTTTTATTTGTTTTGGTTTATGAAAGAAATCTTGGCTAGTTTCTGTTTAAATATGCATTATTGTCTGATATGTCACACAAGAATGACTATTTCCCTGCACTACCCTGTGCTGTTATCTGCGAATTTTAAAGAGTACTCATTTTTCAGCTCGCGCCTCGCAGGTTCATTCTAGTTGTATAAACTAGAGATTAAAAGAGCTCTGCTATTGTAGGATGCCAAAGCAAAGAACATTGCTATATACTAAACCAATTAACAAACCAGGGTAAGAATTACATATTAGTCCCCTAATGCTTTCTTTTCTCCTTTTTTATTTTTAAATTGCTACTTGCTTTCCTTGAACCGAGGATCTATTAGAAACAGTGTCTCTACCTTCTAAGTAGGGGTAAGGTCTGCGTACACATTACCCTCCCCAGACCCCACTTGTAGGACTATTCTGCGTTTGTTGTTGTTGTTGTAAATTGCTACTGGCTGTTTTCAGACGATAGGAACTTTGGGCAAAATGAATGAGCAAGGGAGTACAAGTGAAACAACATACCCTTGAATTTCAAGAAACTGAGTCCTGAGATCATTGCCAACTCCAATAGCATCCAGTGCCTTCCATCCATTTTTAAAAAGTGTTAGTGAGGTTCCTCCAGTCCTCAGTGACTCAGCCTGCTCAAGCACCAATGTTCTAATACCCAGCCTAAATAGCAAGCAATCACATTCATCAAACTTCTTCTCAACTTCCCAAAAAAGAAATTAATGTCATCATACTAGAATTGACGTAGAAAAAATTACTATCACTGATATATGTCGCAATCGATCAAAATATATAGAGAAAATTCATATAGTCGACCTCAACTAGTTTGTAATCGAGACTAATTGACTGATTGACTAATTGTAATAGTAGCAATTATCATGTGGAGGCTAAGTTTATGAACATAATTTACCTCTGAAGTGAAACAGCAGTAGCAAGGCCAGCAATTCCAGCCCCGATAATAACAATATCTTCTTTTCTATCATCAGCTCGAGCATTTATAATGGATAAAGAAATGGGCCTGATTCTAACTCTAGTTTCAGCTGGTAACCATGGTTGTTGAGGTATTAAAGATGTTCTTCTTCTGAAATCAAGTGATGAGTTAGAAGAATAAAGAGAGATATATTGCGACTTAACAAGCAATATAGTGGAAGAGGATAACGCCATGAAATAATCTGTTTTTTGGTGGAACGAAAATGTGAAGACAAGAAACGAAATTCAAGAAGGTATTCCATGGGAATATACGGGTGGCGGACATTTAACGATGTGTCCAAATCCACGTTTTGTAACAGCGAAGCAATGCTAGATGATATTACAAGTTTTATATCTCCGACCAGAATTTTTTTTTTTCTGGACTCAAACAATTTTTCTAACTTTTCAAAAGTTATAAACATTTATGAAAATTCTTTAATAAATATTGAAATTAAAAATATAGTCTAGGAAATGTTATACATAGTAGTTTACATTTCTCTTTTTTTTTTTTTTTTCTTCTTCCTCCTCTTACGTCTAATAATTTGATGTTAGAATTCTTAGATCATATAAGGAAACAATCTATTTTCTCAAACCAACAACGAACTATTTTTCATGAAAAAGATTGATGTAACTCTCCGTATACACGAACAATTTATAACGGGTGTTGACAACCAATCATACATCGTAAGATATTGAGTTTTAACCGGTTTGCAGTATATTTAGTTTAAAAATAAATTAAGATTCCAAAGGAAGCTACTTACAAGGCTGGAATAGCTCAGTTGGTTAGAGCGTGTGGCTGTTAACCACAAGGTCGGAGGTTCAAGCCCTCCTTCTAGCGTTTCCTACTATTTTTTGTTGTTGCTGCATATTAGTGTCTTCACTTAGCATTAACTATTTTTTTTTTTTTGTTTAAGTTTACTTTTACCTAAGAAGAGATATAAATTTCTATTTGCTAATATATAAGTTAAATTAAACAAACAAAAAAAAAGAATAATTTTTTTCTTCAGGTTTGTGTTGATTTTTTCATTGTTAACAATAACAACATACCTAGTGTAATCAAACAAGCGGGGTCTGGGAGGGTAGTAATTATGTAGCCTTATTCCTATCTTGTACAGGTGGAGAGGCTATTTCTGATTGAATTATACAATGCAAGTTCAATTCAGAATTGTGTCATGTATTTATCATTTCAGGAAGGGTCCTTATTTTGCTCCAAACCAACAACAACAATATACTCAATATATTCCCACAAGTGGGATTTGGAGAGGATAGTATGTATGCAGTCCTTACTTTTACCTTGTGAAGGTAGAGAGGCTATTTCTAGAGACCCTCGGCTCAATAAAGAAAAATCACAACGGTTATAACGTAGAACTATGGGAAACAAATAGTAACAACAGCTAGATAAAATAAAAAAAGAAGCAAAGGAAATCTCATGTAATAATATTGATCTAAAAATAGGGAACACGAGGATAACACTACAGTTAGGGAAGGAAGTACAAGTTTGGAAAGAAAATACGTTCGACTACTTACTAACCTACAATCCTAATCTTCGACCTCCACACCCTCTTATCAAAGAGTCATGTCCTCGGTAAGCTATGTGCCAAGTCCTGTCTTATCACCTCTCCCCAGTATTTCTTCGGCCTACCTCTCCCTCTCCTTAGACCCGCCATAGCTAATTTCTCGCAACTCCTTAGTGGAGAATCTATGTTTTTCCTCCCAAACCATAAAAGCTAATTTCCGTCATCTTGTCCACCACATAGACCACTCTCACCTTATTTCGAATATCTTCATTCATAATCCATCCCTCCTAGTATGAACATATATCCATCTCATCACCCTCATCTCTACAATATTTAACTTCTGAACATGAGAGGTCTTGACTAACCAACAATCCACCCCATACAACTGTTAATAATTTGTATTTGTAAAGTAATTCTGGAAATAAAATAATGTAACAGAAATGTAGAGGAAGCATATATTAGTCTGAGCCCACTGAATTCATAGTGTTTCCTTAAGGAACTTAATCCCCTCCTAGTACCCGAGGATATGAATTATTTCCTCCTAGGATAGAATGTATTACACACTGGTGTAGCGGTACTTCAAACCCTCAGTGTTTCAACGAACACAAATTGCGGCAATAATCACACTTACTTTATTTGTTTTATAAGAAAATAATTCAGAAAGAAAGAAGAGATTTCAGAATTTTCATAAGAAAAATCTGAGGGAAGAGCCTGGTATTTATAGCTATCAGGTTGAGTTCAAACGAAGAGGTGCAACTCTGCAAGATGATTATTCGCGTAAAACGGCTATTACGTAAATGACTATTTATGCAAAATAAAACGGAAAACTCAAACCGGAGGAAATTCAAATTACCGTTACGTAACTGGTTGATTTGGATTAAAAATATTAATTTACTTTAACTATTTAACAAATAAATTTGGTCCAAAAAAATTAATCAATCAATCAGATTATTTAACCAAATCCAAATCCAATCCAAATTCGAATGACGACGGCGCGAGGCTTGACTTCTTCTCAACTCTTTAAGAGTTAGAAGAAGTGTAATTTTATATATATATATATATATATATTCCTCCTCCAATATGGGACAATGTTCTTTTGTAAAGAAAGGAAAAATCAAAATTTTATTTTCCCCTCCATTTTCCATTCACCTCAATTTTGAACAAAAAACCCAACAATCCCCCACATGAATGGAGAATGACTATATAATAAAAATGTGCATGAAAACTGTGTGATTCGCATGCAAGGATTGATTGCATCTGGATAAGCAGATTTTCCTTTGAACTTTCCGTAGTGAACTTATGTCGGATATGCTCGGTCAATCGGTATATTTGATATTTTTGAACCGTCAGTGATGCCTAGATAACCATAAGTCACACAATCAACCCTTAACCTTCTTTGGTTCTCATTATTGTGTTCGCTCCAGCCATGAACACCGCCTGGTTTCATAAGTGCGTAGAGAACTAGCCCTACAAATTTGTCCTTGAAGCGGCTAGAACTTCACACTTACATAGTTGATTTCTAAATATGCCATCCCGTATATACACTATTTAATATACCCTGTATCAAATTTAGAAACCATTAAAAAACTCTAATACGTTATCCTTGGTATTGAACATTGTCACATCACGATAATGGACCACAATTTTAGTTGACAATGTTGAATTGTCATTATTGACTTTGTTTGATCTCCTTGAACCTAGATCTTCGGATCTCCAGTCTTCTAGGTAAAGTTACCGCCACAAGGGCTCGGATTAATATCTGCTTCTTCTACATTTCTGTTACGTTATTTTATTTCCAAAATTACTTTACAAATACAGATTACTAACAAGCTTAAGGAACTTAATCCCCTCATAATACCCGAGGTAATGGATTATTTTTCCCATGGTAGAACAAATTACAGACTGGTGTAGCGGTACTTCATTGTTTCAAAGAACACAAACGGCGGCAGTAATCGGACTTATTTTGTTTGTTTTGTAAGAGAACAATGTAGAAAGGAAGAAAAGATTTCAGCATTTTCGTAAGAAAAATCTGAGGAATGGCTTGGTATTTATAACCAATAGGTTGGGTTCAAATGAAAAGGTGTAGCTTTTCAAGATGATTGTTCGCGTAAAATGGCTATTAAGTAAATGCCTATTTATGCAAAATAAAATGGAAAACTCAAACCGGAGGAAATTCAAATTACCGTTATGTAAACGGTTGATTTGGATTAAAAATTATTAATTAAATTTAACTATTTAATAAATAAATTTGGTCCAAAAATTAATCAGTCAAATCATTTGACCAAACTCGAAGTCGAAGCCGAGCGAGCGACGACAGTGGCACGAGGCTTGACTTCTTCTCAACTCTTTAAGAGCTAACAAGTGTAATTATATATATACTCAACAAATGAGCTTTGCACCTCCAATATGGGACAATGTTCCTTTGTAAAGGAGGGAAAATCAAAATTTTATTTTTTTCCTCCATTTCCCATTCACCTCAATTTTGAACCAAAAATCCAACAACAACATGGCCAATCTAACCATTGCTCTGTAAAATCTACCTTTAGCTCTTGGTGGCACATTCTTGTCGCACAAGATGCCAGATGCGAGCCTTCACTTCATCAACCCGGCTCCAATGCGATGTGGCACATCCTCGTCAATCATCCCGTTTCCTTGGATTATAGACCCAAAATACTTAAAATTCTCTCTCTTGAGTATGACTTGTGTGTCCAACCTCACTTCATTTTAAGCCTCCCGAGTCACGTCACTAAACTTGCACTCAAAGTATTCTAGTTTAGTCCTGCTCAACTTGAAATCTTTAGACTCCAACGTCTGCGTCTAGACCTTCAGCCTAGCATTAACACCGCCTTGGTGCAAACAATATGCACCAAGGTACCTCTTCTTGAATGTGTTGTGTCAACTCATCCATCACTAAGGCAACAAAAACGGGCTAAGCGCTAATCCCTCAATCAACTCCACCTCTATTGGGAAGTGTCCCGAGTCCCCCTCTACCATTCTCACCCAGGTCTTGGCTCCATCGTACATTTCCTTAATCGCCCCTAATGTATGTGACAGGTACATCTCTAGCCTCCAAACGTCTCCAGCTAAAAAAAAAAAAAAGACATATTTTCTATTTGATTTGACTTTAGATTTTAAAATTGATAAAATTTGATTCATTAAACTTTTAAGAAAATACCCAACACTATTTGATTTGATTTAAAAAGTTAAAATGACATAAATTAATTTTTTTTAACAGATTGGCTAATAGAAAAAACACCCCTAATCTAATCAAAAGTAAAATTACATGCCCGTTGAAAGAGCTGCCTTAGTTCTTTCTTGCATAAATTAGATGCCTTAGTTCTACTTTCTTGCAGAAAAGCAGCTCAACGGGTCTGCAACTATTTGAAGAATCTAGTTCAACACTCCGCACTTCTTTTTAGAGTTTGTTCGAAGAGCTGAAAAGACTGAAGACTCAGAATTTGTAGAAAAAGGAACCGAAACAGTGCAAATGGATACGGACAGTCCAAGTAGCAGCAGCAGTAGTAATAGCAATGGCGTGATAGTTACTGCAGAAAAAAGAAGGATGAGAATAGAGAATCCTTTTACTTTGAAGGTGGGTCAAGTATTTACTGGCTTTGGCATTGGTTGTGGGATTGGAATTGGTGTTGGTCGCCCTTTAAATCTAGGTACTCTCCACTCCTTCTCTTTTCTTCTCATTCACCAAAAAAAAAAAAATGAAATTTGAAGATTTTTGGAAACCTAAAGAACGG